TTCCTTAATCCCTGGAGGGAGCTGCTCCTAAAGGTCTGCAGAAGAATTAGAGGCAGAGCTTCACAAAGAATTGGATACGATCCTCTTCTTCCTCTGAGAGGAGCATTAAATCAGACAAAGCTCAGTGCTCAGCACTCTTAAGGAATAATTGTACACCAGTTTCTTTTGGCAGTGATCTTGCTTTCAGCATTTTAGCTGTCCCAGCTGATTATTCCCAATCCTTAAACATCTCTTTACTTGTGGTGAAAATTATTTTTCATATATATATATATATATATAAACGGGCAGGCAGGGGTGTGTATATGTATATATGAATATATATGTCTGTGTATGTATATATGAAACCCATGTTAGTCTCTTGATCCCCAAAACTGTCAGAATTGCTGTAACCCAGTGCTAAACTTGCCAGTCCACAAATAAAAAAGAACGTGAAATATAATGGTCATCAGGTTTACAAAGTGGGGAAAACTGCTTCTTAGTGAGCTGTAGACTATGTAATGAAGAAATAACTGAATATAAATTATTAGTGCTATTAAAATATCAGTGGTTTGCTGCTGTTCTGTGGTTGGGTTTTGGGGTTTGGTTCTTCCTTTCTTCTTCTTTTTCATTTGTAGTGTTGTAATTCTGAAGAATATATTTCTTTGGAAGTATCCAAAGGTGTGCAGATTTTTGTGGGGGATCTCTTGTTTTATTTATTTGTTTATTTATTTTTTAACCCTGGATATGGTTTTGCATTAGGGAAACGTCCTTGCTGTGAATTAGGAGAAGGAATTCTGTGGCTGAGAGTGCTCCACAGGACTCAGCATCTCTGCCAAAATTCCTTCAGCTACCAAGTATCAATTAGAGCTTTTTTTTTTTCCTTCTGGAACAAACAAATGCAGCGTTCTGAGCTGATGAGAGGTAGGCAAATGGCTTCCATATTCCTTTGCTAGATGTCCTGGAGCCCCCAGCTGTGCCAAGCAGACGTGGTGCAGATGTGTTCTGTGGGCAGAGCAGGGAGTGCCAAATGTGGGCAGAGCAGGGAGTGCCAAATGTGCAATCACCCTCAGTGTCATGATGGGCCACTGTGTGTCCTGGGGAATGTGTGGTTTTCCCAGCTCAGCTTGTACATGAACATGGGGCCATCTGAGGTGTGGCACAAAGCCATGGAAGAGCAGCAGAGCCTTTAGCAATGGCCAGCTCACCACAGGCTTTTCTCCTTATTTACAGAGGAGGTGGTTTTGACCAGATGTGCCCTGGAAAGGAAGTATCAAAATCCTATTACTCCGTTTGATGTTGTCACAGTTGTTTAATTCTGTAGGTACAAGCTCAGACACCACAGTGGCTACGTTGAGTTTTGTGATTTCAGTTTAGGAAATCCAGTCTTTGTTCCAAGAATGTGCAGCCATTCCTTTAAACATTTCCTTTCTTCTGCTGTTAGTTTATGTGTGTGTGCAACACCGAGTCTTGGATCCCAGGTCAGTCTGACAGAACTGACATTTATGCTGTGCTTGGCAGACAGGAGAGTTGAGCTGCTGCCTCACAAAGCCTTGAAGCCTTGCTGGGGCTTTTTCAGGTTTTTCACCTTTCCACAGTCCCCTCTGGAGGACCAGGAAGACTTTGGAGTGGTGAGCACTGAGGAGACCCCCACAAGAAACTACACCAAACATTCCCATATAGGTGCCTAAAATGGAGTCATATTTCAGCATCAGAATGGAAAACCACACCTCCCCATCCCTGGGAGTGTCCAAGGCCAGGCTGGATGGGGCTTGGAGCAACCTGGGCTAGTGGAAGGTGTCCCTGCCCGTGGCAGGGGGTGGGATGAGGTGATCTGTAAGGTCCCTTCCAAACCAAACCACTCTGTTAGAGTATTCCATGTATCAACCTTTGCCTAATGAACCAGTGAAGTTAAAAGAAGTGTTATTTTCTTCTGCTTGTAGTGTCTGAGTGAATATTCTGTATTTGGAATGACAGGTTTGTAACTCTGCTTGATTTGAGCGATGTCTGATTTATGGCATGTGGTCATTGAGACACGGGGACATTTTGTATGTGGAGTCAATGATGTTGGAGGTCTTTTCCAGCCTAAATGGTTCTACGGATCTGTTGTGCAGCCATTGCACTGAGCTGCACTGAGCCCCTCATTCTGTGTCCAGAGTCAGCACTGCAACTTGATTTACACTTTACAAGTTTTGAGGTTCTTATTGTATTGGTAATTTAAGCCTCTGTAAGAACTTTCTGGAGTGTTTTGTGAGAGAGCTTGCCATTCTTTCCAAGGGTCCTTTTTGGAGATAGCTCCCAGCTGGGAAAAAGGTCTTGAGGGAATGGTGTGTGGTTGTGCCAGGGCAGGGTCAGGTTGGATCTCAGGGAAAGGTTCTTCCCCCAGAGGCTGGTTGGCACTGCCCAGGCTCCCCAGGGCAGTGGGCACAGCCCCAAGGCTGCCAGAGCTCCAGGAGGGTTTGGATGATACTCTCAGGGACAGGGTGGGATTGTTGGGGTGTCTGTGCAGGGCCAAGAGCTGGACTGGATGGTCCTTGGGGGTCCCTTCCAGCTCAGGATAGTCTGTGAATAACTTAAAGCCCTTCCCCCAGTGTCCTCTCCCTTTCTCCCTGCCGAGCCCTTCGAAGGCCTGTGTTCCCCTCGCTGCTCAAACAGCCCTGCTGGGGCTGCTCCTTGAGGCCACGGGCTGAGGGTGAAGGACGATGGAGCTGGGGGAGGCTGTGAAGGCAAGGACAGCTCTTTTGGCAGGCAGGCCACTCCTGCTGGTGGCACAGCTCCTGATGCAGGTGTGTCCCAGGGCAGCTCCTTGCTGAGCTCTCAGCAGAGGGCAGCTGGAGCCTTGGGGTGATCCTGCAGGGAGCTTGGCCAAGGGCAAGGCTTGGCCAGCCCGGGCTGCCTGAGGGGGAACAAGTCCAAGCTCGCAGCCCAGCCTACCTGAGGGGCTGCTTTGGCTTAGCTGCAGTAGTGTTGCTTTTAGATCTTTATTTTATAGGGGGAAAAGGCCTTTCCAAAGGATTTACTGCTTTGGATTGAAAAACCTAATCCCTCAACTGCTGGGAGTAATGGAGCCAGTGGGGCTGTATGGATAAACCCCAGGCAGTGATGTGCTTTACAACAGGGGTTGTCAGGGGACAGATTTGAAGCAAAACAAGTTGGAGGGAGCTTTATTACAGGTGCTGGCTTCAAAGGACACCTGAAGGACAGTGGTGTCAGGTGGAATGGGAGGAGTGGGATGAGGTGTGGGAAGGAATGGTGAGTCCTTAGAGCAGCTCTTTTGATCATACTGTAGTATTTTAGTACATGACATACACAGATAATTTGACTCACAGCCATACAAAAAATCTCCCTAAGACAGTTTAATGTTCTAGGAAAGGTTTTGTGTGATCTCTTGGGTGCCTTTCAAAGAAATGAAACCCTACACTTAGCAAAAGGCACTCATAAATAGAGCCCCCCCAGCAAACAGGGCTGTGTTAGAGTAGACCTTAGTGATGGCTGTTGTTGAAACTGCAGTGAAATAAAACTTTGGACTGTTTAAAGCAGAAAAATGTGTAGATTATATAGAAGATAAGTGCACATTAACTTTTATAGAGCTTGGAAAGCGCTGTGAGGTCTGCTGAGGCAGCACTTCCCTGTGAGCTGCAGCTGCATTGAATTGGCTCCGCTGCACTTTCCTGCTTTGCTTTTCCCCTGACAGCACAATTGTGCCCCATTTGGTCTGCAGGGACTCAGCTGATCCCTTTGAGTGGTTTGGGCACTCAGCTGGCACAAATCTATTCACTTGTGTGTGTATATTTATTTATTTCTGGCACAGCACCCAGACCCTGCTGAGCTGGGTGGGGGCCAGTGCTGGCCCTGGGCAGGAATGCAGGGCACCAGTGCCAAGGCACATTAAGGTGCACAGGCAGGAAATCACAGCCACAGGAATCCAGCTGGCTGCAGTCATACTGGATACCATTGGGAAGGAGCTGTTTGAGGGCCAGAGGGACAGCTCAGTGGGATTGGGAAGTGCTCACATACCTGCTGCTGTTGCTCACACACCCCAGGCCACTGCAGTTTGATGTCCTGCCTTTTCTCCATAGACAAAGACATGGAAAATGTCACAAATAGAGTTGTTTCTGCTCTGGTTCTTTCTGCCAGCTCCTGCAAGGTACACTGGGGCTGGGTACTGGGCTCACACAGGGGTTCTCCAGCCAGAGGTATATAGTTTTTTCAGGGAAGAGATGTGGCACCTCTTCTTTTTTTTTTTCCTTTCTTTTTTTTCCATGGATAAAGTTACAAAGGCAGTATGTGTGTTCTGTCCAGAAAGGCCTCCTCATGTTTACCAAGAATCACAGACTCATGGAATGGTTTGGGTGGAAGGGACCTTAAAGCCCATCCAGTCCCACCCCTGCCCTGGGCAGGGACACCTTCCACTAGCCCAGGTTGCTCCAAGCCCCGTCCAACCTGGCCTTGGACACTTCCAGGGATCCAGGGGCAGCCACAGCTTCTCTGGGCAGCCTGTGCCAGGGCCTCCCCACCCTCACAGCCAACAATTCCTTCCCAATCTCCCATCTAACCCTGCCCTCTGGCAGTGGGAAGCCATTCCCCCTTGCCCTGTCCCCAGTCCCCCTCCAGCTCTTCTGGAGCCCCTTTAGGTGCTTAGGCTGCTGTAAGGTCTTCCCAAAGCCTTCTCTTCTCCAGGTTGAAGAACCTCTTTCTGGAAAAATACATTATTCCTTGGTCCAGCCACATTTGTTTTGGGGACTTTGTTCCCTTCTGATTACTAAGCAATGAAATATTTGGTCAAAACCAAAGGTGAAAGCAAGAAGGCTTTGTGTGCCTGTAAATGTTTAAGACTCATAGAATTTGGTCATACTGGAATGATATAAAGTTACTAGATTTCAAATCACGGGTTTCAGTGCTGGGGGTCTCATTCTCAGCTATTGCTTTCTGTTAATGCTTTTAGTTTCATTTCTTTAATATCAGATGCCTTTTGATAACTTTGTGTTTGCCTCATATTTTCAATTTATTTTTTTTTTTCTTAGAAATTGGTCCAGTGACAATAACCACAGATCCCAAGAAATTTCAATTTGAACTCAGGGAGCTTTATGTTCAGGTGAGTAACTTCTTTGTGGTTCTAGCAAAGACTCCATTTCCTTATGCTAATCTTTCCTCTCGTGCTGAAATTCCTGCTACAAGGATTCCTGAAGGTGTAGCTCACTCACCTCTACCATTTTACCTGCACAAACTGTCCTCTTTCTGTTCTCTGGTCATCTTAATTTATGCCCACTGCCCTGGGGAGCCTGGGCAGTGCCAACCACCCTCTGGGGGAAGAACCTTTTCCTGAGATCCAACCTGACCCTGCCCTGACACAGCTCCAGCCATTCCCTCAGGTGATGGAAAGAAAGGGAAGTATTGGAATGGAATTACCCTGACTGGCAGAAAATATGTTCCTATTGTCTTGCCTTTCATCAAGCAAAATACTCCTGACCTGTGGAAAACCTTGCTGGAGTCAGCAGTGCCAGACAGGCTGTCCCTCAGACACTGGCACAGGGTGTAATCCCTGCAGGAGCAGATTGCTTGAAGATTCAAAGTTGGCAGAAGGTTTGAATTCAGAGAAAACAATAGCTATTATGCTTTCCTCCTTCGTGGGGAAGTTTAAACTTCAAAACTCCTTCCAGATGTTTTGTTTTCTCAATAGTTATGGGCAATACAGGCAGCTGTTTCTAAAAGGTACATGATTTAGATGAAGCTTTTGGGAATTTCAGACTCTGTTTCCAAGCGAGATGTTTAAAAATTGCTGCCCAACGAATTTGAGGTTTCTTTCTTTAATGCTGATTGATTGCATAGTTCATAATTACTTCCAAGATGTGCTCATTCAGCTAAATGAGGGCTGGTGAAGAACCTGATCCTGGGTTACCTGTGTTTGACCTGGAATTAACTGGGAATCATTCTTATGGACAGCATGACAAGGGCTTGGACCTGGGCAGCAGTGGCTCCTTGGTGTCTCTATTTCTCTAAGACTTAAGCAGATTTTTTGTGTGCTCCAGCATTAAATTTTCACAATGGATACTAATTTGCATAAGCCCTATACTGAAATCTTGTCTGTATAACAATCTTTCAAAGTGTATTCCCACAGCTGGAGTGTTCTGTGGCCCTGGGATACAGCTGCCAATGCACTCGTGTCAGCAGCTGGGAAAAGGCCTGATTGGAGCATTGCTCAGTGCAAAAATGACAACTTCAGGAATAAAAGAGTATTCTGTAAGGCTGCTGGTAGTGCTTTCTTATTCAGATCCCAGGTTTACCCCTTTGTGGGTGTTTACAATGCCATTTCAGAAAATAGGTATTAAATGGGGGGATAGTACAGATGGGCTCAGCTGCCAACCTCCATTTGGGCGTACCTGTCCAAACTGAAGGGAAAAGGAGGCTTGCTGGGCTTTCCTCACCTCTGGCTTTCCAGGAAGCTTCACAGGGTAATTGGAACCATATTTAATTTGGAGAGAAAGGCAGGAAATATTGAATGGAAAATTTTCCTATTTGTTTAAAAATAAAGGCAATACAGCAGGTTAAATAGTAGGAAGGAATTCTTCCCTGGGAAGGTGGGGAGGCCCTGGCACAGGTTGCCCAGAGAAGCTGTGGCTGGCCCCTGGATCCCTGGAAGTGTCCAAGGCCAGGTTGGACGGGGCTTGGAGCAACCTGGGCTGGTGGAAGGTGTCCCTGCCCATGGCAGGGGTGGCACTGGATGGGCTTTAAGGTCCCTGCCAACCCAAACCATTCCATGATAATGATGATGATGAGTTGTAGTTCCACCCAGCTGCCTTTTGAAAATGCTCTTCTACATCATGGGAATAAAAAAGAAATTCTCCCTTGAATTTCAGGTTGTCTGGAATCTGCCACTTGCTTTTCCTATAAAAGTAAGGCCAGGTCAGGAAGGACTGACATAAAAAGAGTGATGGTTCTTATATGACTTACAGAAAGAATAATGGCAAAGTACTTAGTCTTTAACAGAGATGAGGAATTTATTGATATTCCTGTTTTGAAATAGGATTAAGAATGCTGATAGGTTAAACTTGTTACCAACATGAACATTTCATTGAGGACAACCAAAATTCTCTGGTATGAGGGGCAGGTTTTTATTCTGGTTTGTGTGTCTGTATGAATGTTTAACCTCAAAACATAATTTTTGATGGCATCTCAAGAATTCAAATTCAGGGCAGCAACTGCATTACCTTTTCTCCTCTTCCTTCCCAGCACGTGGAGATTGTATATACATGTGTGTGAAGGTGGGTCGGTGTTAAAAATAAAAGAAATCAATTTTATATTTCTCTTCCCTTTGGAATTGTCTGTGACAGCACCCTGCAGCAACCACACAATCCTTAGGGTGAAAAAAGGGAATGAATGATTACAAGTTAAGGAAGTATCTGTCTTGAATGTCCCCAAAAAGTAACAGATTTGGCATGTTTCTTTTTGCTTAAAAAAATGCTTCGTTTTTCTTCTACTTGTGACCAGGGTGGTGGAGACTGCCCAGAGATGAGCATTGGGGCAATAAAGATTGCTCTGGAAATTTCCCTGCCTGGTTCCTTCATCTATGTCTTTACTGATGCCAGATCCAAGGATTACAGGCTGACCCACGAGGTGCTTCAGCTCATCCAGCAGAAACAGTCACAGGTACAGAGGATTTGCATTCTGAACTGGTTTGTGTTATTTGATGCCCTCTTTCCTCGGTGACAAAGGGTAAAATTCTCCTGTGTGAGACTCAGTGAAACCTTTTTACAGAACACTGCATTCTAGGGACCTTTTTTTTTCTTTTTTCAAATAGAGAGTTACCTGATCTGGTTGAAAAACAAAACCAAAAACCCATACTGAAAAGGATATTCCTTTTAGTATTGTAAATTAAACAGTGCAGCTGAGTCTGATACCAGTATGTGTATTATTGGCCAGCTTACCACTTATGTGGATGTTTTTATATTGCTGTAAAATAAATATTGTGTGAAGTACAGGGCTGAGAGATGAGGATCAGTGTAAAGGGATTCTTATCTGTTCCTTTTCTTCTTCATTGCCTTTTCCATCAGCCCTGAGTGCAGTGATGCTGTCCTTTATGCAAAGTAATAAGCCCAGCCCAAGTAATACATTCTTCTGTTGTCATTGCAACGTTTTCTACAATATGCCCCACGTGCCAAACAATTGACTCTTTGTTTTCCACCCAGGTGGTGTTTGTGCTGACTGGGGACTGTGATGACAGGGAGCACGTTGGCTACAAGGTCTATGAAGAGATTGCCTCCACCAGCTCTGGTCAGGTTTTCCATTTGGACAAAAAGCAAGTGAATGAGGTAACTTTGCCTGAGCTCTGCAATGTACAGAGGAAACAAGGCAGGGGTTATCCTCTAAGCCTTTAAATGACCTGATCATGGGTTAGGGAGCAGAAGGGGAAATTCTGAATGCCCTAGTCTCAGTATGTGGACTCTCTTCTACTTCTCCCTTCCTTCTTTTTCCATTTGCTGTATCAGGATGCAGATCTGGGACTTTTACTGATGTCAGGGAAGTGTGCAGTGCCATATCTAACCAGAACCTCCCCAGCTTCCCTCTGCCTGTGCCACAAAGCTTCCAGGAGGAGAGCCTTTAAAATAAGGAGTGGCTCTGGGCTCCCAGAGCCCAGTGGCTTTTCTAATCAGTATGAGAGTTCAGTACCAGCTCTAAATGAGCATTTTGTCAGCAAGCAAGGGATTGCTAATTAGCCTGGAATGTTCCTCACATTATGAACTCTCAGGTTTCCATCGATGGTAACTTTTAACTGAGGTTATTGTTGCAATATTTGCCACCTCTGCTGGTAGCTGTGGTTCCTGACCCACAGCCAAAAATGACTGCTTTCTTGGAAAACTCCAGTGTGGGTTTTAGGCAGAAATGAAATTTCAAAAGTGCATGAGAAAACAATTTGGAGAGAGATGAAATCACATGGTAGTTATCAGGAGAGCTGGAATTGTTTATAAATGTTGTAAACATTCCCCTTTGAATTCCCCCCACAGGGAACGACTAGGTGAGGTGTTTTAACAAAAATTTACTCTGCTTTGTTCCTTTTTCTTTCTTTCCTAGAATTTGGATAGTGACAGATGTTGGAGATAAATTGCAGTTTCCCATTGTTGTTGCCTAGAAAAACTGATGTTCTTATTGGGAGTGATAGAAGCTGTTGGCAGTGATGTGAAGGTGATCAAAAGGAGGAACTTCCCAGAGGATTTAGATAGGTTAGAAGTCAGAGGTAAAAGAAATCAGCTGTTGGGAATGTGCAGTTCCTGACCTGAATTTTGGTATTATTTATGTATGAAGGGTAAAACTTGCCTCTGTGACACTCCATGAAATCCCTTTATGCAGGAGGGATTGTGATGGAACTGGATGGTCTATAAAGTCCCTTCCAACCCAACCCATTCTATGGTCCTCTGGTACTGCCCATGGGAAATGCTCTTTGCTGGGACTAGAGTTTTAGATTGAAGCTTTTGTTGATTGTTTTGGTTTTGTTTTCTTCTGCTTTTGAGAGGTAGAAGTGAGCAGAAAAAGCCACTTGTCTTAAGCAGTGTAAGAGATTGCCTAAGGTGGAAAACCCCCCCGAAATCACTTTCAGAAGTTTTCCACAATAACTGCCAAACAATTTGCATTAAAACCAAACCCCAAAGCCTCTGAAATAATTTCAGTGATCACTGACCTCACATAAAGCTGTGTCTGGGCTAAGGGACTGTGACAGTGAGTTGACCCAATTGCTGTGATCCCACAGGAAACCTTCCCTGCAGATTTCAGTCCTGGATCAGAAGTGCTGATTTCTGGATCAAGGGGTGGATGCAAAGGGACAGGACATCTTGCTGTTTGTGGTGCAGCCTTCAGGCAGGACTCAGCTGAAGTAAAACCTGCCCTGCTTTGTCTCTTGAGTAGCTGGTGATGTGTAAAGAATGCAGTTTATAAATGCTGAACACACTCCCCGTTGGGGGCCTAGAGAGAGCTAAAGCTGGAGTGTGGAGAAGGAACAGCTCCACAGTCACCCAGGGAACCCCCTGCCAAACCACTGCCTTGTTTTGTTCAAACATTCTTGGTTGTTCTACCCCCAAAGAACCCAAACAAAGCTATTTTTAGTGTATAAAGTTTCAAACCATTACTCCCTGCTCGCCCTTTGAGCATTAAGTGGAGAATGAAGCAACATTCAAAGCTACAAGGAAACACAGCAAAACAAAACTTGATACACATCCAATGCTCGTGCACTGAGCAGGATAAGAAAATTTAGTGCCTTTTTTACTTCTGAGAAACATGTTCTGATTTCAAATACTACAGCTGACTTGGGCAAAATTTTTGTTGATTGGGTTCAGCCCAGCAAAGCATGAAATACATAAGTATCTCCACTTATCTGATGAATGCAGCTCGTCTAAGAGTCTGTGAGGAAGGGCATATTTTGACAAATTTGCCATGGTTTCTATGCATTCAATTAATAAGAATTTTCTTAAGGTCCAAAGCACAACTTTGATTTCGTTATCTAAAATTCTAGATCTCCTCCATACAGAGGAATGGTAGCATTCTCATTTTGTCCCCAATGTCTTAGAAAGGTTGTTATGCTTCTTTTGTCAAAGCACTGGAGAGATGTTTCTTTAGGGTGAGCTTCCCTTGGCTGCTTTTGTAGGCTCAGGGCTCAATTTGCAACAATTGCTCAGAATTAAAATGCACAGAGAATGCCCATCAAACAAGGGTTAAATTCTCCTATTAGGAGCAGATCCTGTATTTTCATAACCATGGTACTAATTTTGACTTGAAGTTATCTGACCCCACACTTACTTATTCCCCTCACAATGAGTGCTGTAAGGAAATGCCTGCAGAGGTTCTACTGCAGTCCAAAAATAGTGGAGGTTTATTAGGCACTGGGGGTTCAGGTTGTGTCTCCAGGTCATTTTGACTGTTTGTGGTAAAACTGAGTCATTGCTGTGTCTTATGAACTGGACTGACCAGTGTGGATAGAGCTGGGATGTCCCAGGGACTGAGCTAGTGAGTGGTCTTATTCCATTTCTTTTTGTATAGAAACACTTGGTTTTTCTCACTTTATTTTCTTCTTGTAAGAAGGAAAAATTTTCCTTAGACTGCTTAAAAGTAAAGCTTTCTTCCTGATGTGTGAGTAGAAATGCTGTGGAGGAGTTGGGAGCCATGGCACTGACTTTGGTGGAAGAAGAGGGTGTTGTTGAGTGATTTGAAAGGTGGATGAGACTAGATGGGGAAAAAGAGTCTGGAGTTTGGGTGAGAAGCCTGTGAATAACAGTGATTATGTGAGTAAGAGGAGGGTGGGAGGGGACTGAAGACAAGATGGGTTACAGAAGGTTTAAAAATGTGAAAGGCTCTTCAAGAGTAAAATGAAGGGCACAAAGTCAAAAGCTCAACATTACAGCTTAGGAGGAGGGGTTTTTGCTTTCTCTTCTCCCTCCATCCCAAACAGGCATTATCCTTTTTCGTGGCAAAAAGGAGGAATGGTTCAATGGCAGAGACAGCTGAATGCTTTACTCTGAGGATACATTTTGTACAGGGAATGCCCAGCCAAGGAAGGGATAAACAAACACTTCCAGCTGGCCTTCCTCGGTTTCCTATGGAGCTGGGAGGCTCTGGAAAGAGAAGCTGTGCTCATGTACACAAAGACTGTCCTAATGCAACTGCAGAGGGGCTGTCAAAGGCAGCTGAGAGCAGGCTCAGTTCTCTGGTTCCTCGCAAGAGCTTGAGGTTCAACACTGAAACTTTTCACTTGCATGTTTTTTTAAACATGTCGTAGTTATAGATATCATTTATGTTTTATTTTCATAGTATAATTTTCACAAGCTTTTCTCAGTCCTACTCTTTGACATGCATTTAAAAGCATTATTAGAATAGGTAATTTTTGGGTGTGAGTATGAACTTACATTTACTCAAGCAATGAAACAGTTAACTGGAAATGCTGTTGCTTTGACTGCTTGAGAAATATTCTTGAGTCCCAGAATAAACAAATGGGAATAGAGACCATGCTCCATAGATTTTCCAGGTTTCAGCATGCATTCCAAGGAATGACCTGACAGCAGGGCAGGTTGCAAGAGCAAATTCTCTGGAGAAACGTTATAAATTATTGCTGCATTTGCCCTCCCCCCTTTAATAATCCCCAAGTCACATTTTGGCAAAACAACAAAAACTGCTGTTGTTTTGGGGGCTTTCTGTAAGGATCCCAAAGGGAAAAAAACCTACTTCCAAAGCAGTGTTACAGCAGTGTTGCAAACCTCTTTGGAATGGTGGTTGGGAAATGGATCTCCCAGAACTGCCTGTTGAACTTTGGAGAAGGATTTCGCTATAAAAGCAAGTTGCTGCCAGACTTCAGACAGCTGGGCCTTTCTGCTGCCTCCCATTTTCAGTTTTGATCTTGAAAAAACTCTCAGAAACTGAAGTTCATATGGGTTCATTAAATTTTACAATACATTTAAAAACTTACCTGGAATTCAGTGGAAACTTTCCCATCTACCAAGTACAAAAAGGTGTCGTACTCATCTCACTATATGTGAGGACAACAGTGAAGTTTCTTTTGGAAGCATTTTTGGACCCAGATGTATGATTTCTAAAGGTAAAACTGAAATGAGTTGGATCTTTTTGAAGCTCTGTGATTCCTGTTCCAGGCTTGTCCAAAGCAGAGTTGCTGCCTCAGAGGTGTCACCAGCTCTTGCACAAACCCTGTTTCTCTCTTGGGCCACATTCCTTCAGGGGTCTGGAGCAGTACAGTGAATCTGACTGTGATTTTTTGGGTATGTTCTTTTGAAAACATGCCCAAGCCCCTCTCTCACACAGACCCTTGTGGAAGGGACACTTGGTCACTGCTGTTTTACCTCATCTTGTGCTGGGAGCATTCATCGTGGCTCTGGTGAGCTGTTACTAAGAGTGGAGGAGTAATAATTGATGAAAACCTGCCCCCACATTCAAATGTGTTTTCAGTGATGCCCTTCACTTATTGAAACTTCTTTCATGTTTGCACTTTTATTTAAAGCAGGCTGGAATCTCATTTCTATCATAAAGTTATCTTGCACACAAACCTATGGTATAACCCATATTTTTAAGGGAAAAAAACCAGGCAAATTATGCCCAACAAGCCAAGGGAATGAGGCTCTTTTGGGCTGGTGTGTTGAATCAGGTCCTTGAGCTAAAGGCTTGCTCTGGAGCCCTACACTGCTGGTGGCTGCTTAGTTTATTCTTGGGTTCCAAGTCTTGAGCTGACATAATCCAAAGCTCCTTTAAAAGGTGTTGTAATGCAAACCTAAAATCAGGGTTCAGCAGCACTGTCAGCCATGGGCACAGTGTTATACAGACCCAGGATGGCTCCCATGGCATTCAAACACACCCCCTACAGCTCCTGTGGTGTGCTCATTGTCCACCTCCCCCAGCCCCTGGGCAGGGCAGAACATGGGAGCAGTGGGATGAGGAACCTTCTGGGTCCAGATGAGGACAGGGAATCACCAGTCATTGCTGAGGGCAAAACAAACTGTCTGAAGGGAAATCAATTTGTTGCCAATGACAATAGGTATTGAATTCCTCATTCGGACAGTGGGAAGTAAAGACAAGTAGGAACACCCTTCCCTCCCCTTCCAGCTGAACTTCCCTCCCTGCTGCAGGAGTGCCTTCCAAACCTTGCTCCCTGTAGTCCCAGCTCTGGGATTGGTATGATGTGTCTGAGGGGAGAAAGAACCACAGGAGTCCACAGATGGCAACTGCTCAGTACATCTGGACAAGGGAGATTTCCTTCTTGCTTCATGCAGCTAAGAGCTGATGACCAGAAATAGCCACACATTTGCATCCCTAATTCCTTCTTAAAAGTGTACCTGTGGATGTTGTGTGGAGATGTAGCCAGGTCTGCTTGTGTACTCCTTTAAGCCTCACACTGAGCATGGCTTTGGTAGTATCTGCTATTAAAATGGCATTTCCTACAAGTATTAATATTTTTAAAAATGAATTAACATGGAATCTCTACAAGGCAGTAAAGACAGTATTTCAGCAGCAAATGCTTTTGACAGTATAATAACAACTGTTACTTTCTCTTCTAGGTGTTAAAATGGGTTGAAGAAGCAGTTCAAGCCTCCAAAGTGCACCTCTTGTCTACAGACCATTTGTCCATGGCTGTAAATACTTGGCAGATCCCTTTTGATCCCAGCCTGAAAGAGGTCACAGTGTCCTTGAGTGGTCCTTCACCAGCAATCGAGATCCATGATCCTTTAGGTGAAGCAGTTTATGCCTCTTTTTGTGACAGCAAAAAAGGGGAATGAAGAAGCACTTCTGACATTTTAATTTTTCCCAATATTCCCAATATTTTTTTGGCTGAGAGGAAACTGGAAAACTTCCCTATTCTGTTCACTTTGTCTCATCTCCATCTTCTTTCTTACAATTTGTCCTTGTATTCCAAGCTCATGGACACATTTGTGTTTCATCTCTTCATGTATTCACTGAGCCATCATTTAGGGGTTATAGGTGATGGTTTGGTTTATTGGGGAAAGGCAAACTGAGGCCTGCATTCTTTGAACTACAACAGCATTCAGAATCAAACCCATCTCCAGCTGAGCAATGAGAGATTGGGAGCTAATTTGTCACTGAAGATCTTCTGAACAAAGTTGTTGCTCATTGTGTTGGTCCCTTGGGAACCTGGAACAGCACTCCAGAAATAAATTCAGATCATACTTTGTGTTCTCTGCATGACTTTTGCCTGAGGATATAGCTTAAGTTTTAGCATCCTGGAAATATTTTATGCCCAGGATGTGTTCCCTGGTCAGTGCTACACTGAGGAATTCTTCTGTGTTTAGAGAAAAGAGATTTGCTCAGTGTCTCTCTTCAGGCCATGACAACACACAGTCCTGGGTGCAACTGTCAGGCTTAGCTGAGGCTGTGACCCCCCCTGTTTTCCCATCTTCTGGTTCAGCTCCACTCATCTAAATCCACAGTGTTTCACCCACGTTAGTCAAGGCATGTCTAATAAAGTCTTAGAAATGGGCACTGGGACAACCTACTCTCCACCTTTCCCTTTAGTGCTGTGAAAGGGTTTCAGTGCTGTTGGCACACCAGAATCAGCCCTGGGGGAGCAAAGTGCCTCTGTGAAGAACCAGTGCCTGAACCACTCATCTGTAAAGGAGCATTTTTAGCATTCTGGCAAAGAACCCCAGGGCAGTTAGACTGGTATGAATGTCATTGACTGCTAAGTAGTGAGTAAGCCAAGTATCACAAATACATTGGTACAGCCCAACAATCTTGTATTTACTCTGTTTTCTTCAGGCAATACTGTACCTACTCAGTCCTGTGTTTACTCCCTGGTTTTTTTAGGCAAGCGGCGCAGTAAAGGATCAGGGCTGAATGAATTGCTGAATATCCACAACTCTGCTAAGGTAGTAAATGTCAAAGATCCAGAGCCTGGAACATGGACAATTAAGGTAAAGTTACTGCAGAACTCCTGAATTACTGTCCTATAGCTTGTAATGATTTACTTTGTTATTTATCATGTTCTGTTCTATGACTCTGAAAACTTTTTGGAGGTGAAGTCACCCGTGTGAGGTACCTTTACAGCCAGTGCTGAATGGAGCCTGCTGTGCATTGTCCCTGCCCTGAGCACAGGGGTGGTTTGAAAAGGATCATTAATTCCCCCCCAGCCCTGTGGGAGGCTATTGATCCCACTGCACAACTGGAGCTACAAAAGCATGGTTAGCTCAGCAGCTCTGGGGAGAATTGTTTGAACGTCTGTCTGAGACTGGGGGCTTATAAAACACAGGGGGAGGGATTTTTATACAAGGAGATAGTGATGGGACAATGGGGAATGGTGTGAAACTGCCAGAGGGCAGGGTTAGATGGGATTTTGGGAAGGAATTCTCCCCTGGGAGGGTGGGGAGGCCCTGGCACAGGTTGCCCAGAGAAGCTGTGGCTGCCCCTGGATCCCTGGAAGTGTCCAAGGCCAGGTTGGACGGGGCTTGGAGCAACCTGGGCTAGTGGGAGGTGTCCCTGCCCATGGCAGGGGGTGGCACTGGATGGGCTTTAACAGTCCCTTCCCACCCAAACCATTCTGGGATTCTAAGACCAGAAATGGTGAAAAATCTGGTACAGAGACAACCTGGAGGGCTGCTAAAAATAACAAAGAAGTGATGTCCTGCTGGACTTGGTAACATCAGCCACGTTGGGTACTGAGAGACCCTTCCCTACAGTCAGTGCCTTAGCATTGACCTCTGTCCTTGCTGGGGGTTTTAGGGTCAGCAGTCAGCCCCAGCCAGGGCAGCAGCTGCTCCTGCAGGCAGGACTTGGCAGTTTCTTGGGCTTGGGATCTTTTTGGGTTTGTTTTCCTAAGCTCAGCATGATGCTGTCTCCAGCTCTGGGGAGAACAGAACATACAAATTGATGTATTTTAGCTTAAAAAAATGAAAAGAAGAAAAATGTCTTGAATATAGAGTAGAAATAGTTGAATTTAACTTTGATGAGCCAGCCAGGCCATACATTTCTTTATAGATACCTGCACTGGGGGCAATGATTTTTGTGTTGTTTGCAAGACAAGAAAACATCTGTGACAAATAAGTGTTTGCTCTTTTGGTTGTGCTCATCCAGTCTGGGAGGGGAAACACTAATGTACAACACCAGTGATCCATGTTAAACTACAGGTAATGAAAAGAGACTTGATGAAGATACTAATTGGAAAGCAATCCTTTGGGATGAAACATTCCTTGTGTTTGCCTAAGACCCCCCAGCTCCTGGGCATGACAGTGGGAGATGAGTTAATGGTTATTAGTAAATGGTAAAATTTTACAAGGTTATTCTGGACTTAAAATTCACAAATATCCAAAGGTCTGAATAATTCATAAAGAGAAACGATTTCCCAGTGTATTTTTCTATGGATTGTTTACTCTGCTTCAGTCACTGGCTTGGTTTATTTACACAAAGATTTTAAGGCTGTGACTGAAGACCTAAGCTTTGTGAGAAGTTTATTCACACCATAAATTCCTTCTACATTAAGCTATAAAAAGAAAACTTTATCACAGAGTTTGTCTAATGAAATTTTAACGGGCAGTTAACGCTTGATACCAGGAGTTGTTTGGCACAATTAATATTTCTTTGTATTGTGAACAGCTGGTTTATATAAAAACACTTCAGTGGTGCTCTGTCTGAGGTGAAAGGGTAACCAAATAGAAGGAAATAAGTTGTTTTAATCAGACAGACACTGATTTGTCACAGTATCTAATGCCTGTCCCTGGGCTGTTGGTTGTAAGAATGTGTGTTTGTTTGCTGTTCACGTGCAGCAGTGTCAAAGGGGGTTACTGAACTCCAGGAATTGGATATTTGGGAATGGATCAGGTACTACTCTCTAGGGAAAGCTCAGTGGAAGCTTCCATACACCTGAGCATGTAGAAAGCAGGTGGGGAGGGAAAGCTGTGGGTTCCTGCACACCTTTGGCAAGGAGCAGTTTTCCTTTTCTTTCTCTGCATAGAATCATAGAAAATAACTGACAATTACTCTGATTTATCTTCTTTAACACAAAAGACTCACATCAAAGCAGCTGTACCCTCCAACAACCTAAAACTCAGGCTTTTCAGGGGTGGGTGGAGGGCTGGGGGTTGTTGGTGATTTGGTTTTTGCTGATTCACCCAGGATGACGAGGTGGAGACCAGAGGTGAGAGGTACCTGTGCATCCCCTGCTTTCCAGCTGAGCTCCTGGCTGGGGAAGAGAAACACCTTTAATACACTGGGTTTTCTGTGCAGTTCTAAATCATTTACACTTTCCTAGTAGGCTTTGTAATAGTCAGATGCTGGTTCACAGTAGTTGTTGATCTCGTGTTTCTTTGTGATTTATTCCCAAGACAAAACTGGCTCTTTTTGCTGACCCCACAATTGTAGGGCCCAGGATCTGAAAGCAAGGCTCTGTTAAAGGTGGTTTTTACTTACAGCTTCAGACACGAGCCTCCTTTGTCTTGTTTTTAAGGAATGCTCAGTGGATGGCTCAGGAGCTGTGCAGTTCCTGAAATGCTAATTCCCAGGTGTGTCCCTGTGCTTTTGCAGACCTCAAGCAGTGGGAGGCACTCTGTCCGGATCACAGGGCTCAGCACCATCGACTTCCGAGCTGGCTTCTCCAGGAAGCCAACACTGGACTTCAAAAAGACATCCAGCAGACCAGTGCAAGGTTTGCTTCCACTTTACTCCATCCTAAAGAATTTCCTGGCCTCCAAATCAAGTACAGCTCTCTGATGAGCTTTGTGATAACTCTGGGGGTGCTGTTGGTTGGTTCTCAGGGGCCTTGGATCTGTGAGAGCAGCCAAAGTTCCTGTTTTACCAGGCTGTGTCATTTTTTTGTGTTAACTTGGTTTTTTTAAAGTCACACAAATCCAGATATTTTTAGCTCTGAAATGCCTCGACAAGGCAGGGCCATTTCTGTTACTTTTGGAGCTTCAGAAAAGCCCTTTAGCCCTGGGGCAGGGTGAGGAGTTAATAAAGAAGCTGCTATTTCAGAAACACCTGCTGGAAATCAGTAATTTAACCCCCAACCCAGCTGGGTCCCATGACAGTTAATAAGCAGAGCACAGCTTAGCACAATTTAGCTTTTCCCTGCTCAGTCACTGAGGGCTGGAGCTGAATGCAGCATTCATGGGCTGGTGAGCCATCCAGATGGAATTTAATCTTCTGTGGTTTAATTATTTATTTTCTTTAGCACTTAAAATAGCCTGTTTCTGTTTTTCTAGGGATTCCTACCTTTGTGCTGCTCAATACCACGGGGATCCTGCTGCCAGCCAGAGTAGACCGACTGGAACTGCTGAGCATTACAGGGGAACTCCTCAAGACCTTGCCTGTGAAATACTACCCTGACAGAAAGCCCTATGGACTCTGGAATATTTCTGACTTCATTCCACCAGATGAAGCTTTTTTTGTCAAAATAACAGGCTATGACAAGGATGATTATCTTTTTCAGAGGGTTTCAAGTGTCTCATTTTCTAGCATTACTCCTGGTAAGAGATTTTAACTTGAACTGAGTGTCCATTTGTCATATCTGAATCAGTTAAAATGGATATCTTGTATGTTTTTATAACTTGTACAAGTACTTTCTGTGCCTTTTGCTCCCCAAGTCCTGTCTCTAGATCATGATGGACAAGTTAATGTTGCTATAAATCTATCAGAAATTGAATTTCCCTTTAATAAAAGGAAAGACAGGATAGATACAGGAAGCTGTTAGTATACTTTTTGGGGAATGTTTTCTTTCCTCAGATGCTCCAAAAGTTACAATGCCCATGAAGACTCCAGGATATTATTTACAGCCAGGCTCTGTTCCTTGCCATGTGGAAAGTCTTATACCTTTTACTCAGCGTTTTACTAGAAATGGAGTAAAACTGGGAGTGGATCAGTTCTTCAAGTAAGTACTGACCTTTTTTCCCCTCAATACTGTTTTATTTCATATTTATAGCTCGTGATTTCTATTTATCATTTACTGCTATATACTGCTTATATCCTATTACTTCCAATCCGTTATTTTTGGTGATATTCCTTAGGGAGGCTGTATTTTATGGAAATATTTATAATATTTAAATATATAGATACCTATATATGATACACAAAGGAGGGTGTACACTCTGTACATATGATGGGATTATATGGTTCTGGCCAAAATCCTCCTCAAATGTGTGCTCATAAATTATGATAAACTGAGTCTAAAAGTCTAGAAGGCAAATGCTTTTAATTTATATTATTAATTTATATTAAAATTTATATCAAAAGTAATGTAAAATAGACTGGTAACTAGCTTTTGTTTCTGAAACATTCCCCTCACTCTGCCTCCCAGTGATACATAGATGACTCTGCAACATCCCCTGATTTGTTTTATTTTCAATGCCTTTCATGGATGCCCTAGAAATAAGTCCTATGACCTACCCGAGGAAACTCTCCTCTTCAGAAAATCTTTCAAAATAGGAAAATTTATCCTGAATGTACCACAAAGCTCTTCAGATTTCTGTATAGGAAAAGGACTTCGTGCTCTTTCTCTGTAGAGTGAAGTAATAATAATAATAACAATAAAAATCAGAAGTTAATTAAAATACTCATAAAGCCCACCCTGTAATTCTGGTTGTTGGAAGCCAAAGGGAAGTGTGTCCTGGCTAACAGTGTCTTGTAAAGCCTTGTACTAGTAAAGTCCTATATAGGATTTGTTCAGCTTAGCAGTTTAATGCAGATTTGAGCTGTACTATTGCTCTTCATTGAATGACTTTGTTTTGGTGACAAGATGTCATCTTTACTCAAAATTTTAAAACATTTTTTTCATAAACTAAGCTGTTTACAAGCTGAACATTATATTTCTATCGTGACGGTTGTCTATGTGAAAATACCAGCTGCAATAATAATTCCTAATTTTAAATGAGTAACATGTTTAGGAAGAAGAAACTTCTGTAAAATTGCAACAGCTTTGTTTTTCTAGATTTCTGCCTCCTGGGGTGGTGTAATAAGAAAATCTAGATTTTGCTTAATATCCTGGTGCATTTCTGATGAGGCTGATTTCGGGGAGGCCAAGAGCAGTAGCTAAGCACCTCATTCCACTGGAAATCAGCGAGAACTGAGCACTAAAGTTCTTTACAATCTGTTCTGTTTTATAAATGGCAGATCCCACCGACTCTGCAAAGGTCAGAATCAGCAAAAATAATGCCTGAAATTCTGACAAGGAAGGCAATTAGTTTAGTTCATTAAAATCTTTGTATTTCCCCGACTGACCAAATAAACAGCTCAATCAGCAGATTACATGTGCAGTAGGTGATGTGGGTGGGTTATGACTTGGTGCTGAAAGGTGCTGGGTTACCCCCAGCACGTGTTGCAAGAGCTGTGTGCAGTCAGTGCTTGCTGGAGTGGGTGCCCTGAGGGCTGTGTTAGTCAGTGCTCCCACTCTGGGTTTGATTTGTTCCCAGCACACCAGCACAGGTCTTGCTTTGGCCAAGCTGCTCCCCTCGGGGCACGTTCCCCTCTGTGCTTCTGTTCCCGTGTCTGCCGTCTGGTGTGTGGCACAGTCGGGAAGGAGGAGCAGCATTGCCTAACCTCACTTTTAACATACTTTCCATGAAAAAGAGCAGTTTGGAAGAAACACTACCTTATTCTTTAGTGTTGGCCCTCCCTGCCATGTCCCTGTGCCAGCACTGCACTGGGAGCTGTCCCAGATGTGATGTATGATATGTGGGGTTATCTAGAGTAAGGATGAGGTAAGAGGGAACAAGGAAGGAGCCATTTCAGGTCACCAGACTCTGCTTTATTTGTGGTGTAGTTGGATTGTCTGTCTGGTGGTGCTACAGACTGAACTTCCAGGCATAGTCCAAGTCTCTTGTTCCTTCTGCATAAATCAATCCATTCAGGCAAACAAAGGGGTCACTAATGTAGTGTTTTCCTGTAATGTGGCAATGCCTTGCCAAAGCTCTCACGGCTATTTTGGTGCTTATCAGTGTTGTTTATGTGCCATAGCAACAGCCCACGGGGAGCACTGGACACTGCAGAACCACTGCTTGGCTCGTTTATGTCATTGTCTGTGTTTCTGTAGCACCAGGAGTTCATAAAACGTGGGTGTGAATCGTGAGAAGCTGGGGGAGTGTTTGTTTTGAAGCCTGTGAAACCACCAGTCAATGTAGTTACACTTTTATTCTCCTCTTGCTTTCACATTTCATGTGATAGCAACATGGTATTACTGCCCAACAGCTCTGTCCCTGCTGGGATTTAGGGAAAACCAGCAGGTGTTTCTCTGGATTCCTGTACCTGTGAGTTTGGGAAGCTCAGGGGGGAGGATGAACCCTTATTACCCTTGCTAGTAAGAGCCACGTGTTCAGTACCATGTACTGGCTGTGCTTGGGAATTGTTGGCATTGAGGGTAGAGTCTGGGCAGCTGAGAGAGTGACAGCAAATACAGAGGGTTTGGGGTCTGGGTGACAGTTGCTGACATGTTAAAGGCTTTTTATAAGAAGCCTGACAATGTATATATGATGTCTTTAACTAAAATCCATACAGCTCGACCCAGTTTGATTCATCGTCTCTTTTGCCTCTTAATTATTGTGGAATTCTCCTGTGTCTGCAGTGAGGAAGCCAAGTTCATGTTTCCCTTTGTTCCTTTGGGATTTAGTGAGTTTTTCCTTCTCTTCCTCCAGGGAATCCTCCAGCATGAGCTGGGACATTGCCCAGGTGGCCGTGTCTGACGAGGGCTTTTACGAGTGCGTGGCCTCCAGCAGCGCGGGGACGGGGCGTGCACAGACCTTCCTGGACGTGTCAGGTGGGTCCCAGCACACCCTCCTGCTGGGCAGAACTGGGCTGGGACCCCTCAGAGAGCAGCCAACAAAATACATGCCCAGTTTGAGTGTATTTTTAATTAATGGGTTTGTTTCTCCCCCGTGTCCTCGAGGGGGCTGATGTTCATTCACAAACCTGTTTGAAATACCAACACTGGATTTGTTTTGGTGAGTGCCCACTGTCAGTTGGACTGGCAGAAGAGATGTGACCTGCAGAAGCAGAAACTGAAGTCTCAGATTTCAGTTGTTCTTATTTTTGCCTCAGGTTGTACCAATTACATGTTTGCTTGACCGTATGTGTGTGTTATCTGATAGACAGGGAATTACAAAAGCTGTGTTCAGATTTCTGCCATTTTAGAAAAACAAAATTCAGTAAATTGTTGGAAATCTCATCCATTACCTTGGAATCTTTTAAAAGTGAATAACAAGGAGAAAGGAAGTAAAATTACATGAGCAATAATTTGGCCTTATTGATGTGACATTTCGTGATATGATGATATTTGGTCAAAGATTGGGCTTGGTGATCTTGGAGGTCTTTTCCAACCTTTATGATTCTATGAATCGAGCTAATCACAAAGATAATTTTGAATAAACAGCAGTATTTGGTTGCTAGCCAATCATTATTTACCCAGTAGATAATTTTAATCACTTTTTTGAAAAAAAAACCCAAACAAACCCACCAATCTAAAATGTTCCGAAAAATCTCAATTTAATGGCCAGTTTGTGGTAAATCTGTTCATTCACTAGTATGAGTTGATGTGCCTTGTGTGTTCAAGCAGTTTCAAAGCAGAAAGCACAGATATTTCACTTGCTGAGCGAGTCCCTTCTAGAAGTGAATGACCTGGTAGACTTGGTGCACTAAATGATTGCACTGAATAAAGTTAACCCTTTACTCTGTCAGAGGAGTTTAGTGTGAGTAACTGCCAACCAAGGTGCTCCCCAGGCACAGACACATAAACCCAGGAGGCAGTGGGGATCTTCTGCAGGAAGGATTAAGAAGAAAAGCAGATTTATGCCTGTGGGTGGGGGCATGAAAACCCTGCCCATACTAGAGCAAATGTTGTCACTTTATTTTTCACTGTTGCAATGCAGTTTGGGGGAACTGATAAATGACTTCTGTGACTGAAGGCTTTGTTATATAGCCTTGTGCTGGTGCTGCTCAGAGGTGGGTCATCCACAGGTGTAAGTTGTTCCTAGACTGGCACTGAGTGTGGCACTGACAGTGGCAGTGGGGGTGGCAGAGCTCAGCCAGCAGTGTGAATTCAGCCCCAGGGTTTCACATCACAGCTTGAAATCCAAGTTACCTTGTCTTCTGTCTCCTTGTGGTAGCTCCTTCAGGTGAGTTACCCTGGACTTACAGCATCCCAGAATGGTTTGGGTGGGAAGGGACCTCAAAGCTCAGCTCATCCCACCATGGGCAGGGGCACCTTCCACCAGCCCAGGTTGCTCCAAGCCCCGTCCAACCTGGCCTTGGACACTTGCAGGGATCCAGGGGGCACCACAGCTTCTTCTGGGCAAACCTGTGCCAGGGCCTCCCACGCTGCACAGCAGGAATTTCTTCCAATATCCCATCTCTCCCTGCCCTCTGGCAGTGGGAAGCCATTCCCTGTGTCCTGTCCCTCCATCCCTTGTCCCCAGTCCCTCTCCAGCTCTCCTGGAGCCCCTTTAGGCCCTGCCAGGGGCTCTCAGCTCTGCCTGGAGCCTTCTCTTTTCCAGGTGAACCCCCCCCAGCTCTCCCAACCTGGCTCCAGAGCAGAGGGGCTCCAGCCCTGGCAGCATCTCTGTGGCCTTCTCTGGACTTGTTCCAACAGGTTTGAATATTATGAATTATAGAATCACAAAACAATTCAGGCTGGAGAGACCTTTGCAAGCCACCTATTCCAATCCATAGTTCAAAGCAGAATTAACTTCCCAGCTTGGTTGTGTTTTTCAGGAACTTGTCCAACCAGTCTTTGAATGTCCCCAGGGCTGGAGATTTCACAAGTTCCACGGGCAGCCTTCAGTCCTTAACTACCCCCACTAGGAAAATATTTTACATGTCTAGTCAGAATTTCCCCTGCTGCACGTTGTGACCACAGATTCTCATCTTTTTTTTTTAAATTTTATCTCCTGTGCCTTGGGAATAATTGTATATTCCCTAAAACCACCCCCTCAGTAGCTGAAGAGAGTGGTATATAACCCTTCACCTTCCCTTTTCCAGGCAAACAAGTTCCTCTCACTGCAGTGAGAGCAAACCCAAGGAAACCAGTGAGAGATCACTGATTCTATGCAAGGCAAAGTTTGTGGTGAAACAGTGAGAATTTGAGGAGAGGAACATCCTTTTAGTCACACAAAGTAGTGAGTAGAACAGAACAGTAACAGCAATGCTTACCCAAGTCCTTGCTCTAGAGCACTGTTTTATATTTTGACTGCAAAAATCCTTCAAGCACATAGGGCTGTCCCCAGATGTGTATTTCAAACTGTTGTTTGGAGGGCAAGGAGTTGTGGGCATAAAGATTCTTGGTTTGGAAGTTACAACCATCCTCCTCATCAAAGGGAAACCTGAGAGAGAATCTTAACTTTTTCCTAGTGATGTTGATAGCACTTGAAAGTCAAGAGCAGTAAGGGGAAAGGTCCTGTATCCCCTCATTTACAGAGCACTGAGGGATAGACTGGAGCTGACTCACTGTGTAAACATGAGCAATTTCTTCTGTTTGCAGTGAGATGCTTTGAAATCCTTGTGTACAAATATTTGCAAGAAAATGACTCGAAATTTCTCCTTTAAGCAAAGTAAACAATCTTTTCAAGTGCCCTTGGTTTACCCAGCTGACAGACAGCGTAGCACAGACGACCCATTCTGGCAAGTGCTGTGTGAAAGGGCCTGGAGCTGGGCCAGCGTCTGCTCACTTCAGGGAAAGCAAACACTTGAGCTTGACTTCGTTTTACTCCATTAAGTCTTTCAAATGTCAAACGGCTCGTTAGCCGGGTGGCACTGTAACTGCAGGGCCAGGAAGGAGTGCTGGGGGTGGCTGTGTGGGAGGCTGCTGTTATCCAAAGGATGTGTTAACCCCGAGCTGGGCATTTCAGTCCTGTGCTGGCCTCTCCCTCTTCCCTGGGTTCATATAACATGCTGGTGCTATGCCCAGGACTGGTTGTTTCTCCCAAACAACCCAAACCCAGAAGTGCAGGGCAGAAACTCCATTCATAGGCAAGTGCAGCTTTTCCTGCCTCTCCTGTCCACGGGTGAAACACAGTGTTGGTGATGAAGGTGATGCTGGTGGGGGCTGTGTCTGTAGGGCAGCAGGGCTGCACTCCCAGCACATGGTGCTGTGCAGGGATCTCACACAGAGCTTGTGAACCTCATCTGAGACCCCCCCAGGAGACTCCAAGGAGGGGGATTTATGGCTGGCTCTGAGCTTAGGAGTAACCTTCACCCTTAATAAATAGAGATTTTTTTTTTTATTCCATGTTATCCTTGCTTTTCTTGAGAGAATTGTGGTTTAGTGTGTGCTGATAAAGATTTGGTCTTGCTTTTACAGCTGTCTCATTTCTGCTCAAGCATCCTCCTCAGAATATTATTTATTGCAGAGCTTTTTTGGTTCAGGAACCAGTCTGTGGAAAACCAAATGGAATATATATATAATATTTTAAGGAAAATGCATAAAGTCATAGATAATTTATTTTCTTTCTTGAAATGTTGCCTTCTTGATCAGTGATATCTCAAGGAGGAGCAGGATAACTGCTGCTATTTTAAGCATCTGTGGTTTCAAAGTTCAACTCCAGTACAAAATTATTGCATCTGCTTTCTTCTGAGAGCATGACAGAAGTGTACAGATGGGCAGGGTGGAGAGCAAATAATAACAAATGGTGGGAGTTATGACATCAAATACAGACAGGGAGAGATAATGAAATTCCCAAAGATTTGAGT